ATGCCTACCACACATGCATGGCCCTTCCCATTATTAGTATTTTCCACTGAAGTGGTACATTTGTTACAACTGATGAACCCCCACTGACACATTATAATCATCCAAAGTTCATAGTTGACATCAGGCTTCATTGTTAATACTGCACATTCTGTGAATTTGGACAGATGTATAATGACATGTATCTATTATTTTAACATGATAGAACAGTTTCACTGCCCTAAAAATTCTTAATACTATGCCTGTTCATCTCTCCCTTTCTTTCTAGCAACTCTGACCACTGATCTTTTCTATCTTCATAGTTTTACTTTTTTCAAAAGAGTAATGTAGCTGAAATAATACAGTGGATTTATTTTTGACTATGTAAAAAGTTAAAGTTCTATGGTGATTGAATGTAGTCATTTAAGATATACTTACTTTGTCCTTTTGTTTTTCTTCTTTTTTTTTTGTCATAAGATCTGATTACATATGCTTTACATATTTAGAAAACAGAATTTGTGTAGATATTTGCCACATAATGGAAAGGGTTGAGGAAAATGACACCATGCATTACCACACAGTACACACTGGAGCATCTTGGTTTATGGGGTGGGTTCAGATAGACTTTCTGTTTCTTGGAAGGAAACAAGTTCAAGAGGTTGTACTTTATAAAACTGGAATCACAAAGTCTTCCATACATACTTTCAGTTGGAAATAAGACCATGCAGTGAATGCTACAGGTAAATAACCATGCTCCTCACTGATCCTCTTTTTTTGAGGGATGAGTTTGAAAACAGTCTGTATTATGATGACATGACTCACCTATGACTAGATTCACTGTCATGAGGGATGGCAAGGAAATCACACAATTTTGCTTTATATGAGGTGTAAAAAATTTTTTTTCTTTTACTAGAGAGGAGAAAGCATTGGCACATTCTGGTAGCAAGAAGGCATTGATTTCTTTCTGTATTTTTCACATCCGATAGTACTGCTTGGCAGCCTGCCACACCTCCCCAGTGTTTCTTAAGCTTCTCTCTGAGTGTGAGGTGTAATTCGGAGTGGATAAGCTCTTAAAGGAGTGATCTTTCCAGTGGCTTTTTCTGTGGGAGGTAAAATGGCAGGTGAATTTGGGCCTTGTTATACCTAGAGCTGAGCATATAGCTACAACTAAGTAAACCACCCAGCACCTTCCCCAGAATAGTATTAGCCAGAGTAACACATTGATCTCTCTTGAGCTCTTCTCCACTGGCAGCTGGAAAGTTTTTGCAAGAATGCTTGTTTCTGGTCTGATTCCTATGTTTTGCTGACTTCTGGTGTTAAGTTGTTTTATCCTAACCTGAACAGTTTTAACTGCAGAGCTAGGGAGGCTGTGTTGTGTTCAACAAAGTAAGTGCAGTAGTTACCCCTTAAATGTAGCAGATACATTTCAAGACTCCCAGTAAATGCCGGAAACCACAAATAGTACTGAATCACATACCATTTTTTTCTACACATACATATCTGTGATAGCATTTAATTTATAAATTAGTCACAGTAAGAAATTAACTACAATAACTCATACTAAAATATATTGTTATGGTTCTCACCCTTTTTCCTGTGATGATATGAAGTGATACAGTGCCTGTGTAATGAGATGAAGTGAGGTGAATGAGTTAGGCATTGTAATGTAGTGTAAAGCCACTATGTACCCCCTAAATCTAAGTCAGAAAAAAGATCATGAGCTGTGAGTGACCCTGGATCTTCAGGTCTTAGTGACGTTGATGGCTGGCAACAGAAGGGGACCATGTTGATGACTAATGGGTGAACAGCATATGTGGTGTGGATGTACTGATCAAAGGGATAATTCACATCCCGGTCTGGATGGAGGGGCTCAAGATTCCATCGCACTTCACAGAATGGCACACTAAAACTTATGACATGTTTATTTCTGAAGTTTTCTATGTGATATTTTGGGAATACAGTTGACTATTAGCTGTCACCACAGAAATAAAAACTGAATGTAAAATCTGTGTTTGGATGTTGACTCATTTCTTGGTGTACAATTCTTAAAATCATTAGAAATTCCAAACTGGTGTCTTTTGTATGCTAATGATTGATGGCTGGAAGCCCGTACATAGACTCAGGATGGCAACTGGTCATTATCATGAAGACATTGATTAGCGTATTGAGATCTCCAGTCTCACTCTGTAGACTCTGGGATGAAGAGAAAGCCTGAAGGTTTTCAGTCACCCATGGCCTGTGATTTACTTAATCAGTGGTGCATATGTAATAAAGCTTTCATAAAGACCCAAAGGGACTGGGCTTAGAGAGCTTCCAGTTTGCTGAATATATTGAGGTTCCTAGAGGATGGTGTGTCCTGGGAGGGCATGTAATCTTCATCCCACTTCCCCCCACACTTTGCAATGTGCATCTCTTAATCTGTACCTTTTGTAATGTCATTCATAGCAAACTGGTAAATGTGTTTCCCTGAGTACTTTGAGCTATTCCAGCAATTCAATTTAACCCAAAGAGGGAGTTCTGGGAACCTCAATTGAACCCCAAATTGAAGCCAGTTGGTCAGAAGTTCTGGAGTTTCAGACTTAGGACTGATGTAGTAAGGCAGATTCATGGGACTGAGCCCTTTACCTGTGGAATCTGATGCTATCTGCAGATAGAGTATGAGAGCTGAATTAGAGGACAACCCAGCTTGTGTCATCTGCAGAAGTGATTGCTTGCTTGTTGGTAGGGAAAAACCCTCCCCATGTTTGATCACAGAAGCCTTCTTTGTTGATGACTGTTTCTATGCTGTAAGAACAGAGAAAAATGTGGCAAGTATGTCTTTTCCTCAGATGTTGTGGATAAGGTAACTACTGTATACTCTGTTTTACCTGCCCTTCATATTTTGGTTCAGAAATCATGCTCTTTGACACTGGTCACTCATCACACCTGTTCTGATAACAATACAATTTTTAGTCAATCTCATATGATTTGTCTAAGATGACTTGTAATCTGCAGTTCACTTGTAGATATCAAATTTTGATGAGTTTATTCTTTGCATTTAGTAAATAAAAAGTAAGGGAAGTAAGAGTTAAGAGTTCTTACTGCACTAATCATATACCAGTAGGTATAATTTATATTAACTCTAATAAGGTCTCACTTATGCTCCCAAAGCAATGCTTTGTAACAAAGCATCAGTCTTAGACTTTAAAGAAAAATGATCTAAAGCATGCACACAAGTGTGCATAATTTTTTTTTTATGAAGGTAGAGTCTTGCTATGTTTTCCAAACTGGTTTCAAACTTCTGGTTTTCTCAAGTGATCCTCCTGCCTCAGTTTCCCAAGTAGTTGAGATCACAGGCATGCATGACTGTGCCTTCTTATGTTTTTAATATTCTATATATTTATTATTGACTTACAATGCATTTTATCTTTTCCTTTAATAGATCCTGGGAGTTCTGGTGAATCTACAGTCAGGTAGGATTTTACAGATTTAAAAAATTACATTAACTAAATGAATATAGATGGAAGAAACTAATATCTGTTGAGTGTTGTATGCTGGGCTAACCGCCCTATTATGTGCTGTGCATTTATCTCATAAAGCCATCACAACATCTGTGTTCTTATAACCTACTATTTATTAAATAGGGAACTGTGGTTTAGAGAGGTTGATTAATCATCTAATGACCCCATAGTTAACAAAGTAGCTGATTCACAGTTAAACCATCAGCCTGCCTGGCTTCCAAATCTTTCTTTTGCTCCTCAGCATAGATGGATAAAGATCTGTGCAATTGGATCAAGGTATATGTTAGAATCAGATTAATGAATATAGTCAAATCTAGTTATATGTTAACTCTCATTTAAGGTTATTGTTAGAAATGAGGTTGGTCTAAGAGTTTGTCCTAATAAACTTTACAATTTCAGTGGTAACCAATATCTTAACTTTACCATCAAAGGCTTTAGGGCAGTGTAAAGGTTTGGCCATAGGATTGTAAATTTTGCAAATCCAAGATTAGACAAGTCTTAGAGAGAAATTACTTGACTTCCCAGTTTGGTTTTCCCTTTAGGTTAGTATTTCTGCCTACTTCCACAATACTTTTTTTTAGCCGTTTTTTCAATGACATTTTCATAACCTTCTCTTGATGTTTTAAAGTGTTTTCTGCTTTTGGTGTTCTTTTGTCCTATTATTTTTTCCATATTCTTCTGGCTATGTATCCCCAATTCTCCTATAGACAATCAAAAGCATGCAGAATTTCAGAATTTTAAGGAATCATAGGACTAACTAAAATAATCTCTAGTACTTCAACTTGTGTTAAACATTCTGGTCAAGTGTTTTTCTAGATAGAGAACATGAGACTCAAATAGATTAGGATAGTTTTCTTTTTGGACATAGGAAGTAGCAGAAATGAAATTTAACTCATTTTAAAGCCCAGTACTCACCTTTTTTTATTTTATGGGTGCTTTTTGTTGTTGTTGTTGTTGACAGAGTCTTGCTCTCTCGCCCAGGCTGAGTGTAGTGGCGCAGTCTAGGCTCACTGTAACATCTGCCTGAGTTCTAGCAATTCTCTTGCCTCAGCCTCCCAAAGACCTGGGATTACAGCCACATCGTGGTGGCTCACACCTGTAATCCCAGCACTTTGGGAGGCTGAGGCAAGTGGATTATGGGATCAAGAGATCCAGATCATCCTGGGCAAAACGGTGAAAATCAGTCTACTAAAAATACAAAACAAATTAGCTGGGCATGGTGGCAGACGCCTGTGGTCTCAGCTACTTGGGAGGCTAAGGTGGAAGAATTGCTTGAACATGGGAGGTGGAGGTTGCAGTGAGCTGAAATCATGCCATTGCACTCTTGCCTGGTTACAGAGTGAGACTCTGTCTCAGATAATGATAATGATGATGACGATAATGATGATAATATAAAGGGAGAGTGAGTCTGGTGCACCCAGTGGATAGAATGAGAATGAAATTAACTGATAAACCCAATGGCAGTGGCTAAGAATGGAATGAGCAGGGGAAGGCCAAGTTTGAAGAAAAACAATATTTTATTGGATAGGAATACGAATTCTTCATTAAAAGATCAGAATATTGGAGTTTCTGACAAGTTTAATAAAGACAAATTACAAAGATGAAGAACACAGGATGTTGGGAATTTACAAAGGCACATTAAAATAGAGGGTTCAAGGGAGCTTTCAACAAGTTGCGGCTTTTTTTGATCAATAACTGACAAACTTGAAGATTTTTACTGAAAGATGCTAAAACATTTTGAGACACTGGGAAGTCTTTACAGCAGACAGAAATGTGGTATCACGTGCCTCCATTCTGACTTACAGAGGGGTGGCTTAGAGCTTCTTGAGTACTAGGCTGGAGATTGCTGAACTACATAGATCTGTACCCCAGGGCAGGTGCCTCCTCACCTCTGCTTCTTTTTACAATTCACTGATGGCCTTCCAATGTTCACGTAGGCTGAGTCAGGGGCATGATTGACTGGCCAATCAATCATGAAGTTCATTTGGGTAACTGGAGGTGTGTCTATGCTGGGGGCAGTTAATGGAGATGCCAGGTAGCTTGTTATTCAGGAACAGGGATGTAGAGAGCCACTCCTGGTCATTTAAGCCGTTCTTTCAGGAATTTTTGCTTTCATAGATTGATGATTTGAATATTGGAGACTGCCATGGAGCCCTGCACAAGTGGAATCTGGAAGCCCAGAGGAAGAAAGAGATTTGAATAGAACTTAGGGAAACAGAGGTACAACTACCAAGACTCTGTTTTTCCAGCAGTCTCTCTTCTTGGATATCTGAGTGCCTATGAAGGTTTTCTTTTTGAGAGGGAGTCTCGCTCTGTTACCCAGGCTGGAGTGCAGTGGCACGATCTCGGCTCACCACAACCTTTGCCTCCAAGGTTCAAGAATAATAGCCTCCCTAGTAGCTGAAATTACAGGTGTCTGCCACCAAGCCAGGCTGTTGGCATTTTTAGTGGAGATGGGGTTTCGTCATTTTGGCCAGGCTAGTCTTGAGCTCCTGACTTCAAGTGATCTGCTCCCCTCGGCCTCCTAAAGAGATGGGATTTTAGGGGTGAGCCACCATGCCTGGCCCTACCTGTGAAGGATTTAAGGGCTTCTTAGTTAATGAGGACCTGAAAAAAGTAGGATGTATAGAGTGAGTATAATTACATTTTTATTACTGTTAATGTATTAATCTTTCTGGGAAGAGTATTCTCAAAGAGAACATACAACTTTGTCATTAGACTTTTGTGCACTTAGCATACACACGTTTCAAATATTGCAGGTGATTCTCTGTACTGTTTTGGGACAAAGGAAAGCAATGGGACCTTCTTAAGTGGTTTCTATGCTGAGGAATTAAGACTGCCAATTTGAAGTGACAAAGATTAGTCTTTTAACCAGAGATAGATAATGGACAAGAAACAGTGGATCTTTCTACCTTGCTTTAGGTCATCAGGTTTCTCCCAGTTTAGGTAACAAAACTTATGTCGTTTATTAGTTGAACTTTAAGTGCAACTTCAGGATAATTTCTCAGAGTAAATTATCATCAGGCTCTGGTATATATTGGCTGTCCCTATTTGTTGTGGAGCTCAAAGTCAGTGTTCTTTGAATATTGTATCTATTTAGACAGGCAGAGGTGCAAAAATAGGTAACCAAAATCTATTTTTAGAACAGAGGCTATATTTTAATCATATCAAGAAACATTATTTAATGTACAGATAGCTGACCTTTTCCCAGATTGTGTTTTTGTTGTTTGGAGGGAGAAGCTGAATATGAACTGGCAGTTAAAAACTTTGTAAATAAATCAACTTGCTCATTTTCACTGCGTATTTTTGCTCTAAAGCATTTTCCACAAACTGTGTGTTGATTCACGCCCTAAGCCAGATGATGACAACTTGACTGTCACCACCAAGGTAAAGTGGCCCTCGTAAAATTAATTTTCTCACTCAGTCAAGTTTGGCATATTATTTACTTTTAAAATTTAGCAGTGGTTTATCTGTCTTTTTTATATTGGTAATACAAGGTTGGTCAGGGAAAAGCATAGACATGGCTAGTTGATTTTAAAAAAATTGTTTAACCTCATTAACAAAGGATTGATTAAGTATTGTGACGGGTTGGGGCTGAAAGAAAATGAACTGGAAACATAGTCACAGGAAAATCGAGTTAGAAAATGCTTTCCCCAATAAAGGAAATATAAAATTTGGTTAAGGTTTATTTGGATAAATATTAATATTGGCTTTTAAATCATACTAGTGTTACTTTCATAATATTTATGCCTTTATAAATCTTCAGTGAATCAAATTACTTGTAGTTATCATGGAATCTCCCTGGTACTTTTTATTGGCAAAACTGTACAGCACAAAGCACATACCTTTTCTTGGACACTTACTATTTCATTATGTAGTTTTTAGGAGAGATCTTTTTTCTACTTCTATTATTACTTCTGTAGTGAGACTAAAATAATATTAAAATTCGTAGAAAACTAGCTGAGTATGGCAGTGTACACCTTTAGTCCCAGCTACTTGGGGGTTTGAGGCAGGAGGATTTTTTGAGCCTAGGAGTTTGAGAACAGCCTGGCCAACATAACCAGATTGTATCTGCTTTAAAAATATAAATTGTAGAAATGTAGAAATTTAAATTTATGTTATCAAAATTTGTATTACAAATGGATTTTTGTGTGGTTTATAAGTTGTCCATAAAGGGTATATGTAAAACACTTCATCTAATAACATGTATTTTACTGCAAATAACCAGTTATATAAGCAGACTCTTAATACCAATATGATAAGACTTTGACACCATAATTTTGTCATTGTAGTTTATTTAAAATATCCACTCAGAGTCTTTATATTACATTTAGAAATTTAAAATTTCAGAATTTTTATATTTAGTTGTTTAATCAGTTGAAGGTCCTGCATATTACAAGCTACTGGAGGTCATAGACCTATTTGTGTGTATCCTGGAGTACCTGGAATACAGTCTTCCATGTAAGAAGCATTATAATTGTTGATTTTTTGAGATGGAGTTTCACTCTGTCACCGAGGCTGGAGTACAGTGGTGGGATCTTGGCTCACTGCAGTCTCCACTTCCTGGGCTCAGGTGGTCCTCCCACCTCAGCCTCTCAAAGTGCTGGGGTTACAGGCATTTTGAGTTGCTACATTCAGCCTTAATAGTTGTTTAATCTCAATAAATAGATGAATGAATTTTTATATAATGGAATGTTATAAGTAATATATATAATGTATCTATTGATTAAATAGTGCAGTTAAAAAATATTGCTTACATTTGTATTACTTTTTAATGTTTAAGGATGTATAAGTTTTGATGTGTTATTCTGAGAAATTATGCCATAAATAAAAAGAAAATAGAAATAGGTCATTAATAGCAAAGAGAGTTACAATATATTTTCTAGTATAATTCAATTGGAATCTTAGATTATGATTTTAGACTAAACTTTCTTAAACATTTTCTTAGCCCCAACTCATGCTCTAATTAATACACCTCTATATATAAGCCATGCATTACTCTTTTTATTTTTTTCCCCTTAATGCCACTAATAAGCCAACATGCATTATGCTTTAGAATTCTGGTGACCAATTCTTCTTCTAGGTGGAAAGCTGATGGAAAGTTCTAGTTTTCCCTCTCTGCAATAATGGTCTTTCAGGTAGTGGCAGATGACCATGGTTAGCTAATTGAATGTTTTATAGTAATAAAATTAAACATCTGTATCACAGAAATACTTTTTAAAAACTATTTGTAGCATAAGTAGTAACCTGTATTGTTAGGGCTATAAAGGAACAAAAGGTTTGGTTACATATTTATTTCTCCATGTACTTTATGGTACGTCATGTTGTTTGTTTTCTTTCTTGGCTGAAGCTCATATTAAATTGACTAGTTAGGCTTCTTTATTGTTTCTTCCTTCATCATCACATTTTTAAAATGATTTATCCCCACCTAATTTTTTTCTCAGATCTCGTTTCTTTAGTGACTGGTCTTTCAGTCCATCTGTGTCTTCATAGTCAGCATAGTTACAGCTTTCTCTTTAGTTATCTATGTGTGGCTTTCATTCTACAATTATTGCCCACAAGATTACTCATTTTTTTCCTTTTCTTTGGAAGAGCTGAAATTATACATTTATCTTTAGCTTTTTGAAAAAGAGAATAAAAGCAACTAATACTATTTGCAATGTCAACCCACTTAAATAAGGTACCACTATAAACTAAATTCTCATTTTCACCCACAGGAAGTGATTTATGCAAATAATTACCTCCTGCATATATCCATAATGAATTATTTTCTCATGTTTTTGAGCTCATAGTTAATAAAGTATGTACTAAGTAAATTACTGCTTCATAGTATAATTCTGCTAATTTGCATGATTCATTTAAGAAGCAAGTGTAGTATAACACCAGAATAATGAAGTTTAGAATGTGCAAAAAATCACTTTGTGTTCTGAAAATACGTTTATCCAAAGTATAAAGAATTATTTCAGGTTAAGCTGTGGCCAAATGATCATTCTGTGGTATATCTGAATGTGCAAAATTATAAAGAGAGCTAGAGAGAAACAGTTTGAATTGTAGTTTTTATTGAAATTGGAACCTGAAAAGATAAGGCTGGGATTTTAGTATGTTTATATATTTTGATTGTCCAATATAGGTCTACAACGAACATTTTAGGTTAAGAAGAAAACATGGAGAGTAGTAACTATGTGGGCCTGTAGTAACAACAATTTAGTGTTGTAGTAAGTGGAAGTCATTTTCAGAGAGAGAACACTGAGTACTTTTGTGGCAGCCACACTTATAGCAGCAGAAGTATAAAATAATGGTGTATTCTAATGTTAAGACTGTGGAGAGAAATGGGAGGGACCTGACTTTTCACTAGAAGCAGCTGGTGCATAGTTTTACCACCACCAAGTAGAAGTCAAAAGACATGTTAGTGTCCTGGTTCCACC